TATGAGTGTCGCATTATAATTTTAATGAAAAGCGCGTTTAGTAGATAGGGGGAAAATGAAAACCCTAAAATTTTGAACACTCGCCTTCTTTTTTATCCTCCACTTTTGTTTCCTTCTTGCCCTAATTACGATCCTTTCTTCCCCCTCCATAGATTCGACTGCCGCCTTGCCTAGTTATCGACACTCCTTCCTTCGTTCCTCACTTGCCTTCTTCGCCTGACAATATCTCAAGAAGTACAACTCCGAAAGCGTAAAAGTCGGAATTGTGTATCGGAACTACGGTAGACTAAAATTCAGGCGACATGTAGCCTCGTGTGCCCCAGAATTTCACGAATCTGGAATTTGGCTTACTTGAATCTCGTTCCAAGCTTAAACTTAAACCCTTTTAGCATAGCTACTCTCTTTTACGAGCCTTCAACAAGAACCAGGCTTTCATTTGAGTCAGCAAGGAAGCGCTTAGGTGGCGAAGTTTTAACAACAGAAAATGCACGCGAATTCTCTTCTGCTGCAAAGGGAGAAACACTTGAAGGTAGTGCCTTCTTTCATCTTCTTTCTCTCATTCTGATTTTATTTATTTATTTATTGATTTTAATTCAGATTCTATTAGAACTGTGGAAGGGTATTCGGATATAATTGTAATGAGGCATTTTGAAAGTGGTGCTGCCAGAAGAGCAGCGATGACAGCTAACATTCCTGTTATCCATACTGGGGATGGTCCAGGTCAGCATCCTTCTCAGGCTCTTCTTGATGTGTACACCATTGAAAGAGAGATAGGAAAGCTGGATGGAATCAAAGTCGCACTTATTAGGGATCATGCAAATGGGCGAACAGTTCACTCTCTTGCATATCTTTTAGCCAAATACAATGATGTCAAGATCTACTTTGTCTCTCCGGAAGTTGTAAAGATGAAGGTATGCAGTTATTATATATATTATATTATATGTATCTGAAAAGAAGGTGTGAATGTCTTGATGGATTAATTTAGGAGGACATCAAAGTGTACTTAACATTAAAGGGAGTTGAATGGGAAGAAAGTGCTGATTTGAAGGAAGTGACATCGAAATGTGATGTGGTGTATCAGACTCGCATCCAGAAGGAACATTTTGGAGAGAGAAGCGATCTTTATGAGGAAGCTCGTGGGAAATACATTATTGATAGAGATGTATTGGGTGTCATGCAGAAACATGCCATTGTCATGCATCCTCTCCCTAGGCTTGATGAGGTACAAATTCTTGTCTTGTTTTTGTTTTTAGTTTTATATATAATATAATATAATTAAGTAGAGTTTTCTTTGTGAATTGTAGATAACAGTGGATGTAGATGGGGACCCAAGGGCTGCTTATTTTAGACAAGCTAAAAATGGACTCTACATTAAAATGGCTTTGCTCAAGCTCTTACTTGTCGGTTGGTGAATGGTGATTGATTGATATGCAATGGTCAATGGTCTTGGTTTGAAAGGGAGAGTCCTTTTGCTGAATAACTACACTTTTTGTCTGGTCTCGTCAAAACTGCAACAAATTCCATTTCCATGTGTTAGATTAGATATATCACCTAAAGTCTAAAGATTGCAACTTATTAGATAATAATTTATGCTTATGGATTTTTGGGAATTTTTCTTGCTCTGTTGTTTAATGGTGATTTACTGTGGACATTGTTTAATGGACATTGATATTAAAGCAGACTTATTTTCATTTTTCAGTTAAATGTTGGGTTCTTGAGCACCTATGCTTCTTTGAGCACAAATCTAAGGGTATTTTTTGTTATGTTAAACTTAAACCCTTTTATCAAAGTACTGTTTGGATGTGAATTGTAGTTTGGGTTGTTTGATGAGACTTGAGTGTTTGTTGACTGCAGATTCTGATTCTAGCAGTGCTTCTGAAAAGGAGGTAAAAGATGTTAAAGCTTCTACTTAGTTTACTAGGGCAAAGGTATATCTAAAGTTATCATTTGTAGTATATTATATCAAATATCTGAAAATTGCAAGATATGTTTTTTTTTTGTCTTGGGTGGAATCTTTATGGCTGGTTATATATATATATAATATATATATATATATATATAATATATATATATATATATAATCTTAGAAAAAGAGACCTGGAGAAGCCAAGGCAGCTGAAGATGCTCGGAGGCGAGTGGAGGCGGAAGCTGCTGTAGAAGCAAAACAGAAAAGAGACCTGGAAAGGGAAGCAGCCAGACAAGCATTATTGAAGGTATTCTGTATTTCTATTTTGCAACATATATTTTATTATAATATATATATATATATATATATATATATATATATATATATATATATATTATTGTACTTTTCTCCGATTGAAAAGACGGTTGAGATCGATGAGGCATCTTGGTTTCTGAAAGACTTGGAAATGCTAAGGGCTGCAGAGCCAGACCAGATCCTACCGAGCTGCTTAGATGAGATAAGCCCTGGACCTGACAAATAAAATTTTAACTTAAATCTTAAATCTTATTTTTATCAATAGTTTGAAGTTGAACTTTGTGATAACTGTGTAGTGAGTGTTAATGTGTTATCTGGTTATTGCTATTACCGAGTCAATCAGCTCCCGTAATATGTTATGTGATTGTATCACTGTTAAAGAAGCTAAATAAGAACTACATTGAAGCCTCTTTGCTACTTATATGCTTTTCCATTAGCTATCTCTATTGTTTCAAATAGCTTTGAAAGAGATCCCTCAACTCTGTTTTATAATTGCAACTGGGAGTGTTTCTTATAGGGACCTTTTGATTTATCCAAGGACAACATAAAGAATAAGGAGCATAATGGGATATTATTGTCTGGAGTAACAGAACTAAGTTTCAATATCTTTCATATGGAATCTTCTAATTTGTTTCATTTCCCTATCAGCTTGAAAGATAATTAAGCTTGTACAGATCCCAATACTAGATGGTGAAGAAGCATTAAAAGTCCTATGTGTAAGATCAGAATTTTACCTTAAGTTTTCCTAATTTAAAAACTCTATTTAAGAAAACTAAATATTCAATTATCTTTTACTTCTTAACCTTGGTAATGCAGAGTGGGATAGCTAACAGAGCTGTTGGAGAGACTCGTATTCCTCTCTCTCTCTCTCTCTCTCTCTCTCTCTCTCTCTCTGTCCAATTTTTTTTTCTAACAGCTATATCCAGGGACCAAAAAATATTCATTTTATTTGGAACACAGGACCAAAAATGTTATAAGATTTTGAAATAAGGAACAAAGTTGTTAGGAAAAACTTTTTGGGACCAAAAGTTGTATAAAACCAGCCATCCACAAATAGTAGAAAGAAAAACAAAACAAAAATGTAGAGGTGAAGAAAGAAGAATAAATACCATATGCAACAGGTAATCAGTAACATCCATTCGAATTTCTCAATCATCCGTCTCCTGTTGTATATTTTCATCTTCCTCCATTCTCCAAATATTAGACATTAAAGGACTTCCTTCGTCTTCAATCAGATGCTGAACAAAGGTAATTACCTAAGCTATCATGCAGTCTCTCATATTCATCAGTCATCATGTTTTCTTGAAAAGGCATAGATAGAAGAAAGCTATCACAATCCCAGAAAAAAAATAGATAGAGGAAGATGTAGGAGTTCAACTAATATAAGTCCGAATTCTCTCTCCGGAATGAAAGTCAAATTCTGAAGCTATCACAATATAATCTGATCACAATATATTCTAAAAGCCAAATTCTCTCTCACGGATCTTTGGACTTTCATTCCGGAATGTGAGTACTTCTATCTAGTGTTGTTTCAAAGCTTTATATATGCTTAATACACTAGAAATCATAGGAAAACACCATGATCTGTGAGTTTACCGCCCAAGAACACCTTGGGGAGTAAACTCCATTTCAAGGGCCAAAGTGTGCCCAATGACCCCTAGACCTTGGAAACCAAACATGGGACAAACCTTGACATGTTTAGGCATCAAAATCAATTAAAATCAAGGACCAAAAGTGAGTTCATGGCCAAGGAAGTTCTTGGGCCGTGAACTCTATTTTAGGGTGCCAAAATGCCCTAAATGCCTTCCATAACCCAAGAGACAAGCATTGAACTTTACCTAGATGTGTTTAGGACCCAAAACACCCAAAATATCATCTCCCATAAGTGTTTACGGCCGCAAACACATGACCAAATGGTCCATGGGTCGTAAACTCAAAATAGAGGTGTTTTGATGCCACAAACACTTCCAAGGGCTTAGGCATGAATTTAGAATGCTTCTTTATGACCATTAGGACCCTCATAAATATATTTGGCCATGCGTTTACGGTTGTAAACTCATTTGGGCCGTAAACACCCCAAAAGTGCCAAAAGATGAGGTCTTTCTCATCCTAGGTTAAATCTAATGTCCCTAAATCACCCCCTAGACTTCAAACTTGCACTAACCCATGAGTAACCATGAGTTTACGGCCGTAAACTCCCTTGGGCCATGAACTCATGGTAGTAAACTCATTTAAGTGCCTTTATACCTTCCTATGTTGAATCACATGTTATTTCAACACTTGGTCAAGGTGTTTCCTAGTCCCGGAAGGTGTTTTCATTCATATAGTTGTTATAAACACTATATTCATGTCAATATGTGTCCTTATATGTAATTTAGGACTTATTGTGTCTCGGGACTTCATTCGTGGAACTTCTCATCCTTACATGCATACCCGTTTGAATCACCCACGTCAAGTGAGTTCATACCCCGTAATGAATATTTTAACTATTTTAATTGTTTTAAGGGGGGGGGGGGATACAAGTTGAACACAATGATAATTGTGTAATTTTTTGTTGTTAATCATTCTTTTATCAGTCTAGTTAGAACATGAGTAAACTAATATAGGTATAGTTGAAAGTCCGAAGATCTGAAGATCCGTGAGAGAGAATTTGGCTTTTTAGAAGTACTCATATTCATCAGTCATCATGTTTTCTCTCATATTCATTAATATATAATATGTAGGAGTTCAACTAATATAATCTGATCACAATATATTCTAAAAAAGTTCTCTTTTTTTCATTTTTCTGTAGGTGTTCAACTAATAGTTCAAGTTCGGCTGAAAAAACCCTAGTTATGGACTCATTACCAGATTCTATATTAAATGACTTGAGAAAAGTTGAGGTGATATTAACAAAAATAGATGAGAATCAAACTCAAAGTGGTTACAGTTTAGAACATGTTTTAAACAGCTCTGATAACATAAACATGAGAAGTGAAATGATGAAATTTGTTAGAAATGTTAGTTTACAATGTTTAAATGTATTTCCACATGACCATATTTTAAAAGAAGCTGCACTTGTTGCTGAAGAGATTTCAAACACAAAAATGAACTCCTCTAGTGTTGCTATTACTCCATGTAGGACATTGGCAAAAAGCCTCTTGAAAAGCAATCATCAGGTATGTTTATTTTGTTTATATTTAATTATTTATTCGATATAAAAATATGTTTTATATAATTGAATAGTAAATAACTAAATACATACAGGATGTACATTTATGTGGTGTTTATGCAAGAAGAGAAGCTGCATTTGGGAATATAGAATATGCAAGAAAAGTATTTGACATGGCATTATTATCCATTAAAGGGCTTCCATGGGTAAGAAATAAAAATCAAGATTATCTTTACTTTACAAATTACAAAAACTTGATATATATATATATATATATATATATATATATATATATATATATATATATATATATATATATTATCATTTAATTTTATTTTATACGACTCACAGGATCCCAAATCAAACGCCTCACTTTTATTCTTTTGGTATGCTGAACTTGAACTTGAACTTTCAAACAACAATTCTTCTAGAAGCTCAGAATCATCATTATCACAAACATTACACATTCTTTGTTGCTTGGGATGTCGGGTAAAATTTAGTCAATTCAAAAGTCAACCATCAAGTTTACAGTTGTTAAGGGCACGTCAGGGATTTAAAGAACAAATAAGGGTAATTCAGGAAACATGGATACATGGGAGTATTAATGAAAATTTTGTTGCTTCTATTTGTTGTGCTTCATTATTTCAAGAGTTGACTTCTGGATTGGAATCTGGAATACAAATTTTAAATCAATCTTTTTCCATGGTGCTTCCAGGTGATTTCATGATCATTTTAAATCAGTCATTTTTTTATCATATTTAATTTTGTTAGATTGTAGAATCTGTTTAGTTATTGTGGATAACATAATCTTTATAAATACATAAAGGAGAAGACAAATTCATCAACTTGAATTACTATTCAACTATTATATACAAATGCTATGGGAGCATCATTCAGAAGTAGAGCTTGCAAATATTTGGAAAATTTTGGTGCAAGAATTATAGATATACCCCTTCAGTCCCAAACTCTATAATACAATTATTCAAATTGGACATCTTCATACTTCCCCTAGTAAGCTTCGATGGATCATTGATGATTACTTACACAAGTAAGATCAAAATTTTAATCTGTCCTCATAGGGGTGATTGTGTCATTAGTATGAATCTTTGAAACTGAATCATGTTGTTGTGGTGTTTACAGGGAACCATCAGTGAGGGTTTGTCTGTTTGCATTATCATATGAGATTAGAAAAAGGAAGCTCTCATCATAGAGTACATAGAATCTTTGAAAGGGCATTGGGTGACAACATGTTGAAAAGCTGTGTACTTTTATGGCGATTATATTTGTTGTATGAAATCCATGTCACACATGACATGTCCGCAGCTAGAAGAATTTACTTTCATGCCATTCACTCATGTCCATGGTAATATAACATCTTCATCTTTTACAAATTCAAATTTCAAATTTCAAAATTCAAAATATTTGGTTATCGGATTTGTTGGAAGTTATGTGTGAGAAAGAGATGAATGTGAGGACTGATGTATATGAAATCCTTTTGCAAGATGAGATGGATATGTCCAAATAACTTTAGGCAAAAAAGGGATTGTATTGTATACTACAGAATATTCATCAAACTTTGCAAGGATTTGACTTTTGTTGATGTAGGAACTGAACTCGGAGTCGGTTATACCTGGAAGTTTCCTCGAATGGAAAGAGACCATGGATTCTTGGGGTTCCAAAATGATATCTGCTATAGAGGTGAAGTGATTTTGCATCATAATTTCTAATATTACAGGATATAATTCAAAATTCAATTTCCTCAAGTTGTTGCTGAAATGGCAGCAATTGGTTCCACTGAGGTCACTTTGTATCTTGGACATGTGACACATAAGTAAATTGTTAAGGTCATAGAAAAGTAATATTCGTTAATTTTCACTTATCCTAACCAAAAATTTGTTTCGTACTTATCATACTCTGGTTTTGATTTTATGTGGCATGTTATCTAACAATCCAAGAGATACCCCAATTTGTTGATGTTTGAATTATATTTTTCTAGATTGCAGGGTCCGCATCTTGTTGCTCCAACAGGGAGTAACCTTTAATGCCATGGGAAAGAGGTTACTGTGTTTGTAGGATAAAATTATGACCATTCATGAAAGAAGTAGATTCCCTGGAGAGGACCCGAAGCCTTTCATTCCATGACAAGTACAAACAGGGCCTGTTATCGGTTGTAAGTATTGTATTTCTAGCACCCATTTTATGAATTTAGCCACTAAAACTCAACCTGCTATTAAAATAAATCATAAATAATTAATTCATAATGTTTGTAATTATGCAATGCAATGCAGATATGGAGTACTGGAAGTTGTGTCACCTATCCCCTCCTAATTTGTTCCCATCTCCTTGCTTAGCCTAAGCCCAGCCCACCTACTTGTAGGTTGATCTTGAATAAGCAAAGGGGCAATGGATTGTATTTTTTATATCTAATTCGTTTGTAAATTTTTGTTACAATTTCTATTGATTTATTTTATCTTTCCATGGAACGATTATTTGTATGACATTAAATTTATGCAATGGATTCTATTTTTTGTATATGATATTTATTTTCTATTATGAAACATTAAATAAAAATTTAATTTAAAAATAAGTAAATCTGTAAATAATATTTTTTGTAAACATTTCAAATTATGATACGCAAAAATGTGTGTCATCTTCATTTATGACATCGTCTTTCTTGACAGGGGCTTTTTGGATACGCACTGCGCGTCATTGACACGCGCGTCGTAAGGTTACGACACACGAATGCGTGTCGTCTTCCTTTATGACAAGGCCTTCCTTGATACGCATTGGGTGTCGTAAACGCGTGTTGTAATTGAGCGTCGTAAATGGGCGTCGTAAATGCGCGTCGTCTATAGATGACGCGCAAAATCGCGTCGTCTCTCTTTATGACAGGGCCTTCCTTGACGCACATTTGCGCGTCGTCTGAGCCTTTTACGACGCGCAATGAGCGTCGTAAAAGGCTATTTTTCTAGTAGTGCAAAGACATAATGCAGGATATCACCATACTCAATAAAGCATACAAGAACCTCCAGTTACACAAGATACCACTCATGGTAAGTATAGTGAGAAGACTCATCTCGTAAGCAAGCAAATAAACCTCGTACATGAATTACCGATCTAGCCTCCGCCTAACACATACGATAATTATCTCTAACTAACACTTCAATCACAACTCTAATAAACCATGCTATTTTCTCTCTCTAACTCTTGGGATGGGTAAAAGACCATTTTACTCCTCCATGGTCTTTATAATCCCTGTCTTGACCAAACCCTAAAGTTAACATAAGTCAACACTCAAGTCAACAGTCCATGTTGACCTGACTCGTCGACTGCATCTATGTGACTCGTCGAGTTCCCTCGTTCCTTCAGAGAAAATCCAACTTAACTCGTCGAGTTGTCTCATCAACTCACCGAGTTACTCATGTCCACAATCATCGGGGAAAACCCTAGTCGACTCCTAGAGTCAGCTCATCAACTCGTCGAGTCCTTTCAGACTCTTTTCTCATTTAGACGTTTTAAGGCAGATTTACAACCCCAAGCTCTAGATCTAGCCTCCCAAGGCTGAGATACCACGTAAAGCTACAAGCTTTACATCCATGCATGGAACTTATGGCTTGAAATGCCAAAGCAAGTTCTAGTTAGGGTCTTAAGCATAAAAGATCTTCTCTAGCTAGATAAAGTTGGGACCTATGGGCTATAGGGAACTCATAGGGTCCAGATCTGAAGTCTCAATCTCTTGGTAAGCTCAATAAACTCAAAGTCTCAAGGAAAGATGGTAAAAGCCCTAAAACTCCATATAAACGAGATCTAATCAAATTAATGAGCAAGGTGGAGACTTTTTACATCCAACAGAAGCTATAGATGAAATAACACTAGATCCAACCATCCCTTCTCGTTCCAATCCTTGATACTCTTCTCTTCTTTTGCAAAAGTGCACTAGAATGCTGAAAGTTAGCTCTTCTTTCTCTCTTAGATCTAAATGATTAGGGTTTCACACAGGGGAGTAAGATGACATGGGAGGCAGAAATGAGGGATTAAGGTCTTTTAAATTGGACACAACCCTGGAAAATTAGGGTTACCTCTCACAGCGCCAATTCATCGAGTCGGTCGTAAAACCCACCCGGTCAAAACCCTCTCTACTTGACGAGTTGGGGCCTTAAACTCGTCGAGTTGCTTAATCAAAATCATGAAAATTATATAAGTATTATACCTGGTAATCAGGATGTTACATGGATTTGTCTAACCAATGGAGAGGTAGCTATGGCCCAAATACCCTAGAAAAACTTATAGTATTTGGAAAAGATATGAGGTAAAATGTTAACACGTTAACTATTTTTAATTAGATATAATATTCTTACATATAATTGGTCACTAACTTGTTTATCTTGTAGGTTGTGGAAGGTAATACCAACTGGACTTCATTTATTTGAGGCTAGGTACACATATGATGGGTACACGATGGATTTACGTCATCAGTCATGCACATGTAGAATGTGGATGTTGTCTGGAATACACTATGTTCATGGTCAGGCAACAATCAAGTATATGGACAGAGATCCTCTTTAGTTTCTTTCTCCTTGGTTTCATAAGGACAAGTTGATTGCAACATATATGAACTATATATTGCCTGTTAGTGGAAGCAATTTGTGGCAAAGGACTGATTTCATCAAGCCACTACCATCCCTTATGAGGAGAATGCCTGGGAGACCTAAAGTAAATAGAAGGAAGCATGCTTTTGAATCTCAAGACTCTAAATCCAACTTAAAGGGCAAAGATACCAAGGACTATCAGATATGGAAAATGCCAACAGATTACATATAACAAGAGTTCTTGCAAGAATGAAGAAGTTCCCAAAGATCCTATTCCAACAAGGAAGCTTGGGAGACCAAGGAAAGATGGATTTGGTCAACCATATTTTGACCAGTTCCCACCTAAAAGGAATGAAACAAGGATGGATGGTGAAGGGACAAGCACTACTCCTAGAAATTTTCAACAAGAAGAAATCCAACCTACAAAAAAAATACAAGGGATAATGTACCAATTGAAATTGGTCAAAATGTGCATGATGAAGGGGATAAGGTAGGTAGTCAAACTACTCACCATGAGAATGTGGCTAAGCAACCTACGGCAAGGAGGGGAGGGAAAAACAATAGAAGTGGGAGGAGGGAAGAAACTGATGTGGGGGGGGAGAGGATGTGTCCCTTACTTGTGAAGAATTTATTAATGACATAATGGATACACCTTATGCTGATAATAGGATGACTGAGGTTAAGGTAAAATTGTATGGTGTTGTGGTGAATGAGATTGCAAATGAAGTGAATGATACTGAAGGTGAGGTGAAAGAGCATGTGGTTGAGGTGAATAATCTTGAGGCTGAGGGGAATGGGCTTGAGCCTGAGGGGAATGAGGCTAAGGTGAATGAACTTCAGGATGAAGGGAATGAGGATGAGGTAAATGAGTTTGGGGGCATGATAAGAGACATAGTTGAATATGGATATCTACAAGCTGAAATTGAGTTAACTATGCAACAGTATGAAATTTACGTGCCCCTTTTTATATGTTCTTGTCATTCATATCATGATATCTGTTTGCTTGTAGGTTAGAAGGGAAAGACATAAAATGAGGGTTGTTCACTATTGAAGAGGAGGAAACCTTCTAAAAGAATCATAAAGATAAATCCAAGCAAGAGTAAACCTGTTTCGTATTCTGAGAAGAAGACATCTTATATGAAGGACAATATATTGTGTTTGGATTAACATGTATGCATATTGTAAGGGTAAAATGTGTATAAGTACTTTGTTTGCCCTTTTTAAACATATATCCCTATATATTTTGGATTAACATGTTTCATAGTATATGGGTAAAATAGGCATTAGTTTTTTCTCTACCCTTTTTAAACATATATCTTTTGGTAACAGGTTTCCAATTCATATCCAATAAATTCAGTAGAATTGGAACCTTGGTTCTAATTGTTATTACCCCTTTGTGTAGTTACGTTGGTACTTTGGTCATATTGCATTGTATTTTATGGGATGTTATTGTTGGCTAATGATAAAATATCAACTACTATTACCTTTGGTTGACAGTAGATTGTCTTTTTAAGTTCATTATCTTGATTGTTGTTAATTAAATTTACATTGTAAAGTACACTATCATATAAGATCATTGACATATGTTTGGGAAAAATGTTCAAATAGTAACCATCATAAATAACCATCATATTCATTAGGGACATTTCCCATTACATGACCTGCATTACATCACAAAACACTACTACTATGCTTACACCTAAAAAAAACTACATAAACATAAAAAGATCAGCACCACCTTGATAAGAAACATTGTCATGATCAACACCTTTCCCAGAACACTAATGCCTACATCTTTAACCTGTTTGAACCATCACTTTGTGAACCATGAAACCCAATAAAATCACCATCACCAGAAGAAGCAGCAACATGATCACCACCACATTCAGAAGTGTCAATATTATTCTCTAACATTCTTTAGCTTCATTTGCTTGTTCCAACTCAATGTATAACTTCGACATTGTTTCCTTGTAGTGATTATTTGGCAGTGGTGGATCAAGCCACAAGAAAAAATCACATTTTTTTTATTCTGCACAGTGTGAAAAACAATTTACCTTTGCCTTGGTTCTTAGTTTAAGAGCAACAAAATTTCAAAAATCATGTCACTTTTACTTGATAGTTAGGACACCCTCGAAATTTTCTGCCCGAATTTTCATTTCTTGTGGAGATGGAGAAACTGAAGATTTCATCACAATCACACCTAAGCTCTACATACCACCAATTCTTGATGTCCATGCTCTGTACAATCCAAAATTTGAAGACCAAACCATGATTTACCAGTGTGGGAGAAGGAAGGCAGAGTGTGCTTGACCTACTACTATTTCTCAAACGTTCAAAAATAAGAGCTGAAACCTTAATGACCAGATGAAACCGACTAAAAGGCCTAAGCCCAATACTTAATGACACAAAAAATGGCCATAGTGATCGAAAATTAAATTATATGGTTTTCCCCAATTTAATGACAAAATGTTGGGACTTTTATGGTATTTTCACATGAAAAAAAGGTTATAATAGTTTGGTAGGTAGAACTCTAAATAAATTCAAAGAGTAGGAGTTTAAGAGGTGGAAAAAAAGGTGATAATATTTTGGGAGGCAGAAGGGAGAAATTAACATTAAGTTTTGGAAATAGAAGTCATATTGAAGGAAAAGTAGGCAAGTAGGATTATGAAGTATGGGATATTAATGAAAAAGTGAAAAAGTAAAATATGCATTGATCGAGGTGGCTAATTAATGACTTCCACATTACAAAACGATTCAACCTAATGTTTTCTTTTACATTTAGATTTGGTTTAGGCATACTGACTTTACCTAAAATATTAAAAGAAGTTGTGTGTGTGTGTGTGTATATATATATATATATATATCATTTTTGTGTTGAAAGTTTCTACACTAACCTTACCCGTTTAATTTTCATGGTGTATCATGTCAACTTGTTTAATTAAACGAGTAGAAATTTCTGACCCAAAATTGTTTATTTACATATTGGGTTCATGTTGTGTTTCACGTTGTGTCGAGAACTACCATCCCTAGCGACCACCCTTAATTGACGTGTGTATTATGCCATCGGAACACATACGCCAAACCATCATCGTCGATTATTTGTCTCTCCACTTTGTTTTACCACCAACCTCCATCATCTCAAGTTTGTAGTTCGATTTGCAGGCCCCATTTGTAGATTTTGAGGTTTTCATTCATAGGTCTTAAGTTTTTTGTACAGTATAATGGATGATTTATGGTCATCGGTTACCGTTGACACCACACATGTTCTCCCAATTCAACAATAAACCTAGTAAATAGAAGAAAGAAAAAAGGAACCCTATAAACAAAATCCTAAATTCAATGACATTTTGATTTTGAATTGAGAACTATATAATAAGAAATTAAAAACAATTCCCAGAAAAGCCAATTGAATGCATGTGATGTAAAATCAAAACTATATAATTGATTTTCTTACAATAGAAAAAGGGACGCCGAAGATGCATATCTAGCACATAGATGACTTTTCTCCAACTTAGAAAGAGGAAGAGGAGGAGGAGAATGAAAGAAAAAGGTAGTAGGAAGGTTGATAATAGTGGTGTTAATGGGGGGGAGGGTGGGGGGAGAGAGAGAGAGAGGAACAATTTATTTTCTTTTCCTTTTTATTCATGTTAATAAAAAAAAGAAATTAAATTAAAAAGGTATAATTTGTCTAAAACGTAATGAAAATAATTAAACTAAGGGTAAGATAGTAATTTTAGATCACTTATGAAATAAAATTGTTAGGGGTGTGAAGTCTTAACAAAAAGCTCTATCGGTGGCAGAAAGCTCCATTGGTGATAGAAACTTCTAGTTGATAGCAGAAAGCTGGTGAAAAAAGCTCTGTTTGGTGGTAAAAAACTATGTTGATCATAGAAAACTCTGTTTTGGTGGCATAAAACTTTTCTTTTGACAGAAAGCTTTGTTGGGTGGTAGAAAAATTTATTAGTGAGAAAGCATTGTTACAAAGAATGAAGCACATGAATGACATTTAGTGATTGACTAACAATTAAGACATCCTCTTCATGGGATAATCATGGATGGGTCTGGCCCATCAGAATTAGGGTTTTATATGCTTCATTATAAATAGACACATATCTCTATCAACATTCTTGTGCAAAATTTTCAAGAGAGCAGATTAATGTGAGGTTGACAACACATCCTTTGGAGCAGTTTGTAAGTACGATGTATTCTTTTGTTTTAATAGCTCAAGTGAGGTGCAACCTTTGTGAGTGCTCATAATTACTATTGAAAGTTAATAAACCCCCCTTTTCCTTCTCTCTCTCTTTATCTCTCTCTCTCTTTCTCTCTCTCTCTCTCTCTCTCTCTCTCTCTCTCTCTCTCTCTCGTGGAGACAACTAAGATTGACCAAACCACGTTAAATATCGTGTTTTGGTTTTACAAATTTATGTTTGCAGTTTTTCAGAAGTTTTATTCTGCAAATTTCTATGAAGTTTGTTTATCCTAAAGTGTTTTACTTCTTTTGTTGAATTTCTAAAAAACTGGTATTAAAGCTCTTCTAATTCTTGGCAAGTGATATTTGATTCCCAACAAACTAGTATCAAAGCTATGGCAAAGGATATGGAAGTTAAGATTGACAAATTCGATGGTCATAATTTTGGTTTCTGGAAAATGCAAAATCGAAGACTATCTCCACCTGAAAAAGTTAAATGAACCATTGTTTGGAAAGAAACCTGAAGCAATGAAGAAGGAGGATTATGATTTATTAGATCGACATGCACTTAGTGTGGTGAGACTATCATTGGCAAAGAACGTTGCTTATAACATTTTAATGTCACTGTGGGCACTATTTCTAACAGTTCGGTAAATATAACTTACCTCCACACGACATAAGAGAAATTCTTATTTACGAGCTCAAATAGACAAATAGTATAATCAAGACGGATCAAGATCTCACAAAGACACTCTTAAGATCACACAAAGATCAATTGTAAATTCTAGGGATCAAACATAAAACATTTGATGAGCCAAACTCTATCCATTTATAGACCTAAATGAATGTCAACCAATTATAGGACACCATGCAATTGCTTTTAGAATCTTCAAACTTTGACCTAGGATAACACTGTCACACCCCAAAACCAAGAACGGCGGAAACGTTCTGGGGCGGAGGACGTCATGTAAAGTATCACAACACAGTAAATGTAAATAAGCAAACAACATCATCCATTGCATTAAATATATAATTTTAATACAAGCGTGTTCTGTACAGTATAGACACCAAAAATAATGTATATCAAAATAATAAGATGACTCTTGAATGCGCTCCATCTTCTCAAAAGCTGGCCTCGGTACCTGTCTACTGATGACCTGAGAATACAAGTTATTTTGAAAGAGTTTATCATCATTAAGCTGGTGAGCTCATAAGTATTTTAGTGTCGGTATTTGTCATCCAAAAATGTTTGAACATGTATCAAGTATAAGTTTGTAAAATGTATGTAAAGGTTTGTAAGTGTTTGTAAAAGTTTGAATCTCTCAGAAAAACCTATATTTTCTATTTAAGTAGCCTTCTACCAAGGCTTAACTATTTTGTATGCTCGTTTGTTGTAAAAGTGTGTAATTCCCCAAGTGTAACTATCATTTAACAAAATATAGTTTGTACATTAATGTTTAAGTGAGGTTGTCACTAAAATATGTAATGGGTAAATCATTGTAGTACTGTAGTTTTGTAATATAGGAACTACTGCTGTACTAACTACCTTAAACCGGATTTATATTAAGGTATAATGTGATAAATTGCACCATGCTATCGACTGGTAACAACGACATAATGAATGGTCGTAATAACGGAATGACGTTTAGCACCCGCAGACCTGCAGGTCCGGCTGTAGCTAGCAACAAGATGTAGGATAGTCAATCCGGTATAGATCTATACGCAAACTCACGCTCTCCCTCCAAGAGAATTCTGGCTACAACTCGGGCCATGACATTTAAGGCATGCTCCGACACAGTGGATCACAATTGTTAACGTGTTCATGTATATGTAATGTTTCTCGTT